TCTTCCCAGCAGTACCTTCTAAGTGCTAGAAGCAGCTTATTAAGCTCTGGGCAACTTTTCCAGTCCAAAGTTCCAACGTCTTTCCATTATACTCCCAAAACCATATGTTCAGGTCTGTCACAGCAATACCCCATGACTTGATATCAATTTTGTTCTTTGTTAGGGTTTCTATTGCTGTGATAAACACCATAACCAAAAGCAACTTGGGGAGGAAAGGGCTTATTTCAGTTTACAGTTCCACATCATAGTCCATCCCTAAGGGAATACAGGGCAGGAACCCAAACAGGGAAAATATGTGGAGGCAGGAGTTGATGCAGAAGCCATAAATGAATGCTGCTTACTGCCTTGTGCCTCAGTCTGCTCTCTTACACCATCCAAGACCACCAGTCCAGAGATAACACCATCTCCACTGAGCTGAGCCAACCCACCTTAATCATTAATCAGTAGAGTGTGCTACAGACTGGCATACAGGCAAATCTTATAATGACATTTTCCCCATGGAGAGTTCTTCTTCCCAAATGACTCTAGCTTGTGTCAAGTTGACATAAAACTAACCAACACATGGAGTAAAATGATTAAAAGGAAGATGTGTGTATGTTTTGGCTTCAAGTTCAAGAGATGTTTCAGTCTACCAAGGTTGGCAGCTCTGGTGTCTCTGACCCAGTGATGATGTAGCCATGGGGCAGGTGGAGCAACTGCTCCAATATAGTAGTTAGGAAGGAGACAGGAAAGGATGGAGACAAGGGACAGTCTCTAAGGACCACTTAAATGTCCACTTCCTCTAGCCATCCCTCACCTCCCAAAGTTTCCATCACCTCTTAAGATAGTGTCCCAGCTGGGTTATCAAGCTCTCAACACGGAAGCCAATAGGGGGCAATTGCTACACAACCTATAGCCAGTAGTATGATCCAGTTAATCCACCATGCTCAATATTGTGTCACACATGCACCTGCCACACCTGAGGTGTTGTGTGTGACCAGTGGCCACCACACTGGGTAATGATGCTCCATCAGAAGACTAAGCACGCAAACAAGTTTCAGAGAGGAGGAAACACAGTGTTTTAAAGATCCACTAAGAATTTTATCTCTATTTCCATTTATCAATCATCTCTAAGTTATTGAAAAAGAATCCAGGACTTGGCAATAGAAAGAAAAATGAAGAAAAAAAACACATATCACTATGTAATTAGGCTTTTATAGGCTTTGCTATAACTACTTCGGTGTCCTGCAGGTGGTCCCTCTGACCTCCCCTCCCTCTGATATTTCTATGCAGTTTGTTCTAAAAGTGCTTTTCAGGAATCACTGGCCAGGATCATATTTAAGTCGCCAAGAGTAATCAGTGTGATAAAATGTGTGACATTTTCTTCCATCACTCAAGAAGCTTGCTCATCTGGTCCCATGGAAAACTTTCAAGAAGCTCCAAGGTAGCCACAAATGTGAGGGGAGGGGGCTGCTGGCTCACCAAACCATTTCTGATTAAAACTCAGAGTCTAGTACACTGTATTCCAGGATATAAGTACAGGTCAACAAACGTGTGTTTTTTCTCATTGATGTCTGAGGTCTCTGTATGTCCCCATAATTACATCTGGCAGAGGAAAACAAGCTGATGCATGCCTGTGTAAGTGGCTCTCAGCAATCTCCCAGCCCTCCACAGTGCAGTAGCACACTGATTCCCCCTCAGCCCAAGGATTAATAGTGTAGGCTGTGAGCACATGCGCTCAGGAACTTCACGGGTTTCCATGGATACCTGAATTCTAGTGCCAATGCACATTTACTATTGCTTTTCTTGTCACCAAGAGTCCTGTAAACACTTGTGCTTTAAGATTTTGTGTAGAAATTTGAATTTTATAGAGGACCAGTCAAAATTACCCTTTTCCTGCTGCCTAGAATGATTTTCCTCTAGGCTCAAATCTAACTCACTATCTGTGGCATTCTTTCAATGATGTGCTTTTATTTATAGGACCAATAAAAGACAACAAAGGTTAACTGCATTATTGGTATAACTTTTAAGTGGCATGTTTATAGTATATAAGTGTAAAACTTGGTAAGTAAAGCAGCTTATTCTATATTTTAAAATGGAAAGAGGCAAAGAGAGGGCAGAAACATGAACATAATGATGAAATGTGAGATCTTCAAGGATACCCTTAGGTTATTTTACTGAGCAATTATAGTTTTCTTACACATAGTAAGCCTTTTATATTTTTAAAAACCATTCACAAATCTGTGAAGATGGCAGCCTATGTTACAATTGCCCCGTTGCATTGTTACATAAGCTCAGAAATTCTCAGGAATGTGCTCCTGTGCTACCAAGGCATGTATCTGGGATTAGAACTCAAATCTTCCATTTTACTGCCCAGACCTTCCCCCTGGGCAGAATGCATGCTGCTTCCACAGAAGGTGCATCCATGCACTTCTTTCTCACGTTTTGACAGGTCTCTGTACCTCCAAATTGGATTTTATGAAGCCATCCTGTTTGGTAGCCAAACCTTGACTGCCCCTGAGAGTTAGCTCAGTTGGCTAATTTAACAAGCCTAGTCATTTCCCATCAACCTAGCTCCAGGAAAGCAGCAGTCACAAAGACACCAGAGCCTGAAAGTACCTTAGCTACTCAAGGACTCAGTAAGGGAACAGATGCCCACTTCCAGCTATCCGGACCAAGAAGAACATGCAATATAGAGAAAGGACAGCAATTTGCAGGCTGAGTGGTCCTTCTTTAGACACCCAAAGTCAAGGAGAAAGCTTTTACTTTCACAGACTCATTTGATGGGAGAGAAGCAGGGTTTGAACTATTAAATGACTGTTTCAACTCACTTGTGTTCATATAACCACCCAGTTTCTGCAGTCTCCCAGTCACTATCTTTGTAAGGCCATGAGCTCACCAAAAAGACCATTTACCACAGCAGCTCTTGTTTACCTTATATTTGTGATTTATTTTCTTTTGAGATTTTTTTCAATATATACAGTACTTATTCATTTTATCTTGATTTTTGAGATTATTTTAGTTTACCCCAGCCTCTAACTTTTTGTTTTCTTATATCAGTTTTGTTTTTAATAGACAGATGCTTAATATTTGTGCAGTATACAAGAATGTTTTAATACATCATTTATAATAATCAAATGAGTGCTACCTTCTTCATTTATTTTTTTGTGGCTAAAACACTTAAAATCTTCTTCTCTTCTATTTAAAGATATCCAATATAACATTGCTAGCCTGTTCATTATCATCATTGTTTTTAATATGAAAGTATGGCTGTATAACTCTGCTGTAGCTCAGGGGTAGCTCATGTGCTGTGACATGGATGGGACTGGCGCTAAACCCCAGAACCACTAAATAAAGAAATCAGTGTAATATTTTGCTTCTGCTGTACAATGGAGGAGGGATGCTGGACCTAGGGTGACTCTAGCTAAGAAGCTTTGCTTCTGTTATACCCAGGAGACTCTAAGCTCACAGATTCATGTCTCACGCCTCTCAGCAACAGCCGGGACCTGAGGAGCCAGAGGTGTGAATGAGAATATTTTTGCTAAGTATAAGAAGCATACATAGAAAATGCGTATGTGTGTGCTTGGTTGGGAGCCATGCATGTCAATTGGTTTTTAACTCCATATTGGAAAAAAAAAAAAAAAAAAAAAAAAAAGGAAGGCTCTTGTTTTCTCCCAGAGCTGCTGCTTAGACAAGGAATTACCATTTGTTTAATAAAAGATGTGACTAAATTGTGTTCCTTATGGTTATTTCAATGTTTCAAGCCTTACAACCCAACCAACTAGGTTCTGACTCTTAACAACAAAACAAAAACCAAACAAAACAAGAAAAGTAACATCTGGGCCAATCTGTACTGTGGACAGCTTTTAAAATCCAGGATAACTCTCCATGTAGACAAATGTTGCCTTTCACTGTCCAGGGCTCATTCCTTCTGATTGGGAATCAGAAATCTGTGCTGCTCACTCACATAGATGGGGGGGGGGGGGGAGAGTGGCCAACTCTCTCCCATCTGCAGAGAAGGAAGAACTCTGTCTTGCACACAAAGCTTTCTCTTGCTTGTAAATTTTGTTCAGTAGTAGAATTGCATTTGCTTTTTGGCCAGACACATTTTCTCCACACCTGGCAGGGATCTAGAACTGAAATTACAAGATTTATTTCATCTTAATTCTATTATGAGGCATTTAGTCACAAATACCCCCAAAATGAAGCGATAATTTATCATCTTGCCCTGACTGAGCAACTCTCCTCCATTGGCATTCATGAATCCATAATGCTGAGAGGAGGCTGGATGATTAAGTGTCCGATTAGAGAAAACAGATTAACCTGGCAAACGTCATAAATTTAGCTCATAAGCAGGATGGCTTTATAAAAGCTCATGTTAACTCTCCTGTATCAAATTCTACACTGCCTCCTTCTGTGATGACTCAATTGGAATGACTAAGGAAAGATTCCAAAGGGCATATCATATCGGATTTGGTTCATAACTAAATATGCATTAGAAGGGAACCTTGTAAGAAAAATACTGACTCTCAAAGAGCACACCTACTACCTCTCAAGGGCTCTCATTTCTACATCGCCACTTGAAGGTCCCAGATGCCACTGATTACTTTCTATGCACTGTTTAGAAGATGTCACACCTGACCCTGAGCTGCAGATCCAGAAAACTCATCCACAATTACCTTAACAGAACCTGGCCCCTTAATGAAAACAGCTTCCTACTAGGTAGTTCTCCCACGTGGCCAACACATCAAATCCAGCAGCTAAGTTTTGCACGAGTGGGGGTTTCTTTGGGTTGAATTCCATGTATACCAGGGCACAAATTAGACAGACTATGACTGGTTTTAAGCAAAGTCCAGAACAGCTCTCAGAAAAACTTACTGAAACAGTCTGCTCTCCTTCCCTGGCTGGAGTTTCTGGGCACTCATTTAAGCTGGGGAAAGAGGATCCTCGGTGTCCACAGCTCTATTTTTAACCTCAATGGCTGTTTTTCTGAAGTCTTGGCATGCCTGGCCTAAAACAGCAGGAGTCACGTTGAGTAAGGGACCTCTTCTGTCTAGATCCAGGACATCTTCAGGGCAGACGAAGGGAGGGAACTTGGCCTCTGGTCCTTAATGAAGGCCAGCTCCATCCCATCCCAAGCCAGGTAATTTCCCATTAGGGAAAGCAGACTCCGAGGTCTAAGGTATGACAGACCCCCTTTTTGCCCTTGCTCCTCCCCTCTCCCCACACTGAAGTTGATTTTGGCATGTGAGTAGAGTCATGGCTAGTCCGTGTGCCCTTGCTGGCTCTTGACCTCTGGGGTCAGTCTAGGTAGGACTGTTTTGTGTGCGTGCATGCAGGTGTGTGTGAGTCATGGATTTTTCTATAGCAACCGGTCTCCGACTCTATTGAGTCAAAGATGTTTCTTTGGAGTGCAGGCAGAGAAAGCAAACTTTTGACCCAGAAGGAATCCGTGTCCAACTCGGACATGGTATACAGTGTATCCATAATGACTATACCCAAATATTTCTGAGCTCTGCAGGGCAGGCCATCCTTAAAACTGCAACACCCAGCAGGGCCAGAGCTTGAAACCACAACTTTGTCATAGTAAGGTCCTAGTTGCTGGGAGGATAAAATCAAGCAGGCACCAGGCTGTGGCTGAGCTGAAAGTAGATTTGTGTGTCTGTTTCAGCTGGCTTGAAGTCTCTCCGCCCCCCCCCCCCCCGCAGTTTTTGGCCGGCAGACACCACCGAGGTAGGGACTCCCCTTATGGGTGAGGGTGGGAGGTCGGGGCACGACTAGCAGAGCACATCCCCAGCCCAAAGCCCCTCTCAAGATCCCCGGGCCTGCAGTGGGCACGGAAGACCTGGGTGTCTCCGAACTGCGGTGTGCACGGAGAATCTGGGGATCCCAGATTTGCAGCATGCCTGGAGGATCTAGGTGGCGGGAAGGGCGCAGGTCTGGGACAAACGATCAGGGACGGGCGGTGCAGTGCACGAGCCAGGCAGGCGCGCGCTAGGAACCCGCGCGGAGGGTGCTGGGTTGACGCGGCTGCGGCTCGCGGGCGCTGGCGTTGGCGCTGCGGAAGACGGCAGTGGCCTACGTGGTGGCCTTGGCCTCCGGGTGGTGTGGATGGAGTCGCCCAAAGATTGCTAGCAGCGCGGCTACGAGGCCAGGGAGAGCCCGGGAAGCAGGCCGGGGCCACCAGGGCAAGAACACAACCCCAGCTTGAGCCTAGCCGGGAGGTGCGTTGGGGGAGGGGAGGGAGGCGCTCTAGGCGCTAAGCAACGTTATTTTGATCCGTGGGCAAGTTCAGAGGTGAGAGAGCAACTGACTTCATCCAACCCCCTCCTTTTATAAATGGGGAGCAGGGAAATAAAAGAGACCCGCTTCCAGTTCGGGAAAACTGTGAGAATAGACACTGGAAACTCAGTCCACTGGTCAGGGCCGACTTCTCAGCTCGGTTCTCATCCAAATTCAAATGACTGCCAATAGTTGACAGTGTTGTCTTAGATCTTGGATCCCTGGACAGTGATATTTAGTACTATGATTATGACTCGGGTTCTGGAAAACATGGACAGGTCTCGAGTTCTTGGTTCCTTTATTCGTTTAGCATTTACTAGACAGGTATTTGTGCCCCGAACCCCTCTAGAAACTGAACTTGTGGAGATAAACAAGAATCCGCCCTCTGTGTGGGAAAGCAGAGGAGGGATCCAGATACCAGTTACAAAGCAGGTTCAGGAAGGGGATGGGTGATCAAACATATAACGTGCACTAGGGAAATTAGGAGGTGTCTTTAAGGCACACTGGGAGATGGGGGTGGGGGGTGGGGCAGCATTAGAAGATGGCATCCTGCCTAGATCTGAAATAAAGGGAAGGAGGCCAAGATTAAGATAGAGGCAGTTCTGGGGTGGAGGCAGTATTAGGGATCCTAGGGAGATTCAAAGTCCAGTATGGCATTGCTATTCGTGAAGGACGGTTTGGGGTGCATCTGTCCCCATATCAAACCTCTCAGGTGCAGGTTAAATTTGGTATAAGAATCCATGCTGCCCCGGGGTCTGAGTGTAAGACAGCCTAGACACACCACTTCACAGAAGCCTGCTGTGGATGGAAGTGGGAAACCATCCTAATAGAACTGGGAAACTCTTGGAGAACGGGAAGCCATTGATGGGTAGCAATGACTTTTCATGCCCCGGGTAACATTCTTGGAGGTAGTCAGTAAACAGTTCTTCTGGGTATCCATCCTATAACACAGTTGGCCTCGTAGACATTTGAACAGCACTCATGAAATGTCCCTATAGCCATCTCTGCACAGAACACTTCTTTTGATGTATCCCTAGATACATCAGACATAGTGCAATAAAATAGGGAGGCCGGTTTTCCTAATTGGAAAATAAATCCCTTGTATAAGATTGAGTGCCTATGTTCCAGTCAGTCTTCATTATACACTCTATGATTCTGTGCAGGTGAGCTGTTAAGTAAATCTTGATAGCCCTGTGCCTAAGGTCTGATTCTGGGAACTGCGTAGATGGGCCTAACATCACCTGGAAAGGCCTCCAAGGCAGAAGAAAAATGGGGGCTTCCCCGCAAAGCTCCATTGGTTTATATATCTTTGTAAGCAGCATTTCCTCAGATTCATTATTAATTATATTCAATGGTGTAAAAGAGCATGAAATTGGCGTAGGAAGATAGACTTGAAATTGAATTTCAGAGTTGTCACTCCTTGCCTGCTTGACTTCAGAGCTGGCATGAACTCAACTGGTCTCTACAATCACCATGCCAATCCTTTATTGACCATCTTACAGCCACACCACCTTCCCTCCCATCATTTCCTTAGATCCCAAGACCACCATTTACCCCCTGAGTTTATAATGTCAATTCAAGAACATACAGGGTGCCATCACAAAGGATGCAACCTTCTGATATAGTTTTTATATTTTTAATTTTTTTCCTGCTCAGCAGAATTCTCTGGAGATTAATTCAGGTTTTGTTGACAAGTATTAGTTGCACATATTAAAAGCATTACATTTCTACATATGTATAGCGTATATACCAGTTAAATTCAGCCAGTCCCTCCAGTACCAGTCAGTACAGATGATTATTTTACTTTCAAATTGACTTTTAAAGCTTCTGAATGAAAACAAATAAGCAGAACTTGTTTTTTTTGTGTGTGTGTGTCTGGCTCATTTCATGTATTTGTTTTGTTAGACTGAGGTTTTGAAATTTCTTGTATATCCTGGATGGCAGCCCTTCCTTGCCAAATGTATAGTTTACAAATTTTCTCTCCCATCCTGTAGGCTGACTTTTCTTGCTATTGCATGTTTAATTTACTGTTTGGAAGGTTTTAGTTCTGTGCAATTCCACTTGGCTATTTTTGTTGTTTCCTATGCTTTAGGAAGGTCCATCCAGAAAATCATTAGCCATGTCTACACCTTGAAATAACCTTTGCATTTTCTTCTATGACTTCTAGAATTTCTGGTCTGATATTCAGCTCTTTGGCCCACTTGGAGTTGATTTTTAGATAAGCCTCCTGTACTTAAGTGTTCATATCTTACTCTGTATTTAGGGGAGATCTCAGCAATTATTTCATTGGACAGATTTTCTGTGCCTTTAATTTTCTGGTATTCCATACTATTTCTTCCACTAGTTGTTGAGGCTTTTGAGGGTTATATATTTTATTTGATTCATTAACTTCCTTATTTCCAAGGTTTCTGCCTGTTTCTTTGCAGAATTCTCATTTAAAGCCTACTTCATCTGCCTAACTACATTTAGCTGTTCATCTGTGTTATTGTGGCTCTCATTTTGATTATTTCATAATCATCCTTTGAGATTCCATTCACTTTCATTTCATAGGAACCAGTTGCTGGGGAATCACTATGTTCTTTTGGAGATTTGCACATTTGTTGGGTAAGATGTCTCTACTGCTTTTAAGGCATGGCCTTAATAAGTGCCTTTCTTCTGAAGATGTGTCTTAGAGTGTCAGTTTGTTCTGAAATGCTGACTTTGTTTCTAGCTGAATATCATTGTGTAGTTCCACTATAACTTCCACGCCCATGGCTTATGAACTTAGGCAGAGTGCACAGTCTCAGGCCTGTTTCCTCTATGTGTTACAAGAGTGGAGATACTTCTTCAATTCTGATAGGTATAGCATTGACAGCAGAGGCCACAGTGTAGTCCTGTTTTGTTGGAGGTCCCATCAGATGTTAATGTTTCCATCCAACTATTGGTATTCTGCTACTAGCAAGGAACTCTTTGTGCAGGAGCCGGGACTCTTATAGTGGGGCCCACTGCACTCGTATAGGGGTGCTCCTGCCCAGTCCTAATAGCATCAAAATCAGAATGGACCAGATGGCAGCTACACAGAAGTGAGGTAAAAGCAAGAATTCCAGTGTTTCTGGTACTTCAGTGACTGCCCCTGCCAATGAGGGTGGCCAGGGACAGAGTTGAGCCACATTTCTTTCAGCAGGTTCTATTTTGTCAATGTATGCTTGATGTAGGAGCTGGACTCATGGGGTTGCCCAGGGCTCACCCATCAGGCCCCTATATGCTTGAGAATTATGGGGGTTCTCTCCCTACCTTATTCATAACAGGCACATGAATACAGGTCTTGAGGGAACCGTGTGATAGGTCCCTTCAATCCTGACACTGACCCTTGCCCACACATGGCTAACTATATGTTGGGTCACAGAGAACAATGTGCTGGTTTCCTGGGGCTCAGGGGCAGCACCTTCCAATCTCCTCTGGTCATAGCTCCCAGCGCCTACAGAGCAGGGCGTCTAGCACTTTAGCCACAGTTACCCTGCTGTGCTATGCTTGGTTCAAAAGGCAGCTATCTGCCAAGTCAGTGCTGGGAGCAGTTGCATAATACAGAAGAGAGTACACAGGGATGTTTTGATTCCTGGAAACAGCAGCTCACTTCTCAAGATGGGTGCTGGCTACCATTGCCTGGGCCTTCCCTAGAGTCGTGTGAGACCCATTTCCAAAGCCAGGCTACCATGCAGAGCTCAGGCTGCTAATCTAAAAGAACTGCAAGTTAACTGTATGGTATCTAGGGTTATCAGCGTCCACATGGATGGAGCCTCCTGGAGCTCTCTCTTTGACCTCACCCCTCCTAAAGAAGATCCCCTTACCATGCTGTGGGGCTGGGGTGGCAGGTGCTGGGGTATTTTGCTTCTCTTACTATTTGGCCCTAGGTATCTGCATTTTTGCTAGATTGCTGTCTCTATCTTGAGGATTTCCAGTACAGTCTCATCACATTGGCCTCTAAATGCAGCTTACACGGACTGCTTGGGTTGGTATTTATAGATGGGGACTGAATATTGGGCATTTCCTTTTAATTTTTTTATAAGAGACTCTTGCTTTTAAAAGGATTTATTAATTTACTTTATAATGTATGCCTCTGTGTATGCACCTGTATGCATTTATAGGCCCTCAAAGAACAAAGTGGGGTGGATGCTTTGGGACTTGAGTTACAGTGAGCTGCCTGATGTATGTTCTGGTAACCAAACCCAGGACTTTTACCAGAGCATTAAGTGCTCTCAACCACGGAGCCATTTCTCCAGCCCCACGGATTAATCAGTTCTATTCAGCCATCTTGAACCTTGAGAGAGCACAGGTGTTTGTTGCCATCACCCACTGACATCAGCTGAGCTGTTTGAAGCTATTAGTAATAAAGCCACTATAAGCATTTGCATACCAGTCTTTGTTAACTGTAAGACTTCTTTGACTTAGTCTTTTGAGGTCCATGCTTAAAGTTGCAATTGCTGGATCATATATTGGTAACCAGGTAAAAATTTAAAGATCTGGACAAACCGTTTCCCCTGTAGCTGTATCACAGTGAAAGAGTGGTTCTGCATCTTTACCAGAGTCCGACATTACCTCTCTCTTTCATCTGAGCTGTGCTGAGGAGCATGCTGTAGCATTCCATTGTGACTTTAATTTACATTTCCCTAATGGCTAATGATGAACGTGGCTTGTTTGGCATGTGTAATTTCTAAAGTATGAAAGGTATCTTCATTGCTTCTACTTACATTCTAACTGAATTGTTTACCTCCCCACTGCTGGGTTTCAAGAAATTTATTTATTCATTTATTGTTCTTAATTATGTGTATGGAGAGGTGGGGGTGGGTTTGTGTCCAAGAGTGTTCTGTCCACAGAGGCCAGAAGAGGGCATCAGATCCCCTGGAGCTGGAATTGCAAGCACTTCTTGGCCATCTGATGAGGATGCTGGGAACTGAACTCAGGCCTCTCCAGTCTCATCGTGAGATCTCTACATGTGTTCTTGATACTGCCTTCACTTTTGCACTTTGAATATTTTTAATTTTGAGGATATCCAGTTTATTGAGTTTTCAGTCTATGGATCATACTTTTGACATTAGTAGAAGTACTCTCTACCAACATTTAATACCAAGTCTTCTCCCCCATTTCTCCCCTCACCGTGTGTGTGTGTGTGTGTGTGTGTGTGTGTGTGCACGAGAGAGAGAGAGAGAGAGAGATTTAAGTTGGAGTCTATTGTTGGTGGTCCATAGGAAATTACTCAATTACTCCAGCACCAATTGTTAAAAGTCTGTTGTGAGATAACATGATTCTCCTTGATTGAGATCATTTGCCAAATTCACTTTTCTTTAGCTTAAGAAACACAGGCTTTGAACTTGGACCCCATGACTGTTATTTAAGCCACACTGCTAGACATGCTGGGATCCAAGAAGCCAGGATTAGGAAAGCTGTGAACTAGATATTATCTGAGGTTCCTTTATGCATCAACTTGCTAGGATATGTAAGAGGTCAGTGTGAGAATTCACACTTCTCCTCACATGTTAGCATGGAGGTTCTTCTCTGGGCTCTTGGATGGCTATTTATATGCCATGCTTGCTGTTCCTACCCCGTCTTTTTAAATTAATTATGATAGGTTTTGTGTAGCTAATCACTCATACTTTATAAATTGAGTCTCAGGTTATATGTCAGAGACTGAGAGCATTAGCTATTAAAAAGTTACTGTGACATCATCCATTGCATATAGTCATATGTCATGTCTTTGAGACAGAACAGAACAGGGACCAAATCACAAACAAAACACGGCTCGGCCTGGTATAAAGCAGACAGCAACACTATCTTACCCACCTGTGTAATTCCTGCCGGTTTTCTCAAGGTGTTCATAACACTTTGTAGCCCGTTCATAAGGGATGCTTTCAATAGTTTTCTGAAATAAAGAAGTCAGCCTATTTGTTATGTCTGTCTTTGTTATTGTTTGGCTTTTCAAGACAGGGTTTCTCTGTGTAGCCCTGGCTGTCCTGGAATTCATTCTGTAGACCAGGCTGACTCAGAGATCCATATATGTCTGTCTTTTAAATGAGGCAAGTGAGACTCTGCCTGAGTAACCCGCCTAGAAGTAGAACCAGCAAGTGGCAAGTAGAATTCAGGGAGTTTTATCCAAAAGTTGGGAGTTGAAAGATAGCTTTTATCTGTAGCATGGGCTAATAACATCATAAACTCAAATAAAAATGAAGGCTTTCCAGTTAAATAAGGTTAATTGAGATAATGTTTTTGAAAAGCATGTTATATTTTTGAGTATCCCTTGTTAAAATGGTGATTACTAATACAAGCTTGGATAAAATAGGCTTTGATTTCTGCAGGCTGTTGAGGGCTTCATGATTTCTACTCATGGAAAATATGTTTTATTACATCATAGTATATTATCTGTTTTTTTCTAGCAGTGACCAAATTATGAACTTCCACATTAAGTAAGACTCAAACATACTTGAGAGGATGGCTAAACTTAATGCTTCTAAATAATTTCTTTAGTAGTTATTTTTCAACAGATGGACTATTATATTTGGTGTGTTTCTGTGACAATGTGGTGAGTGAAGGTGTCCACAGACAGCATGAAAATACTTAGGGAAACACCCTTCCAGTATTAATTGTTGTTGGGGGGAAAAACAGACTTCTGGAGTGCCAAGAAGGAAAAAGAAAGAGAGAAAGGGTAAGGATGGGAGGAGAGAAGGGGTGAGGATGGGAGGGAGGGGGAGATGCAGGGGGCGGGGAGAAAGAAAATGGAAGAAAAAGAAACGTGCTGGGCAGTGTGCATGCCTTTAATCCCAGTACTCAGGAGGCAGTGGCAGGTGGATCTCTGTGAATTCCAGGCCAGTTGGTCTGCAGAGCTAGTTCCAGGACAGCTAGGACTGTTATAGAGAAACCGTGTCTCAAAAGACGAAGGAAAGGAAAGGAAAGAAAATAAAAGGAATCTGTATTCACAAATCCTTAGTCTATTATGCTATTATGATCATAATTTAGGTGAGTTTGAAGTTTTTAACATTTGCATTTCTTTGGTAGGGAGCCTGCAGAGTTGCAGGAGGGTGAGATGGTGAGGAGAGTCATTGTCCAATAGAGACTGCACATGCATACAGCACTTACTCTTCCTTTGATTGTGGATAGATGCACACCACTTCCTCTTGCTGACTTACTCCATTTCCATGACTACACAGGAAGTGTAACCTCTACAAAAGGCACTTGTAAGAAACATGCGTGCGTTATTTAGAAAGAGAAAAATCCAGACCACGTTCATCAATGCAGTGAGCCTCTCTACCTTGCAAGGTGTCTGCCCCTGTGGTGGACCACCTTGCACTGTTTCAGGAACCACAAGTGGAGCAGTAAGGGATGGGGCGAGGCAGGTTGTCGTGGTTACAGTGACAAAAGGCATCTGAGATGTATCGGGTGAAAGCCAGAGTCTTAAACATGCTACAGTACAGAGCACATTCTGACCTTGGAAGAAATGTTCCAGAGCATGCTTTGCACCTGAATGTCTGTCTTGATATCCATCTGGTGTATAATTTGGCCCTGCTTAAAATAAAATGGCAGAGTGAGTTTTGTGGTACAATATATTTCTTACACGTTTTAATGTTCACAGTGTTCAGCATCCACCCACACCTCTGCTTCTTAGTTGTACTGTGCAGCACAGAGCCTGGAAGAATTCTAATCTTAGACTCTTGACCCAGGACTTCTTCACACTGTAGAAGCAGGAGAATACTGATACTTTTTAGAATTTTTTTAGAACATTTGAATAATAAAACCAACATATATTTGCTTTCTCCTTATTGCACCTTCTTTTTCCAAACAAAACATATTTCCATACTTAATATTTCTGAAATTGTATGTAGAGGGAAGTTCTACAGACCATAAATTCTAGACTTAAAGAATGATCATGGTAAGGAAAAATTGCTATAGAGAATTATGCAAGTGCTAATTTGTTCCCCTCTTGCTGCTGGAACATACAGAATCATCCAAAGAAAACACTTTGTGAGTCGTAGTCATTATCCAGCGAGGTCCCTCTGCTAAAGTGGAAGCCTTCCTTGAACTCTCCTTCTGTGAGTTATACCATCTCTGTGTCTATCATTGCAGATGGCGTTTAATGACTGCTTCAGTCTGTCCTATCCTCACAACCCTCGCCCAGGAGACTTGATTGAAGTGTTCCGTCCTGGCTATCAGCACTGGGCACTGTACTTGGGTGATGGCTACGTTATCAACATCGCACCTGTAGGTAAGATCTCTTTCCAGGGGCTCCTAGAGGCTTTTTAGTTATTGGAAATTAGAAAAGAACTTGAACAAAATCATAAAACAGATAAAATTTAGAAAGTAAGTCCAACTAATTTAGAAAATGATATTCAAAGACCGAAGCATCGTTTAAAAGATTCCACAAACTAAATAACATTGAATTAAAAGAACCTGTGTATCAAAAGAATTCTTAATTACAAATAAATGACTGTCTGAGGAAGACATTGGCCACAAATGTGACTAACTTCTATGTCTTTATGTCTCACACAAGTAGGGCTATATGGACAGGTCCATGGTGGTGCTCACATCTTCACAGACAGACGTGGAAAAATAAGCCAAGAAGGTGGTTTAGGAAGACACGAGATAGGAGGGGGTAATACTGTAGTTAGGAAATTTCTGGAGGAGGCAGCAACAGAAGCAAAACTTCCAAGAAATGAGAAAACTAGTTCCCAGGGTACCTGGGAAATTGGTGCCTTGGAGCAGAAACAGTGAATGCTGAGAGCCCAGGCCACAACTGGGAAAGTTTGAAACCAGTTGGCAAGAGAAGAGAACAGAAATTTCAACTTTGTATTCACCTGCAAGTTGTAGATGAAGACACTGATGGATTTTTCATGCCTGTCTCATTAGCAAAGGGTAAAAGGATGGTAAGCAGTGGAGACAGACAGTGAAGTTAATACAGGTATACTGGTGGAGGTAGAAACGGATACTGTCATTCACAAAAACAGTCTAGCAGAATGTGCTAAGAGTCTCAAAAGATTTCTTGAACTCCGCATCTGATCTTGCTTGTAGGAGTCTGGGGAAACTTTAGACATGTGGACAAATTTCATTTCTAATGGTTTAGAAATGAGACAATAGCTTAATTTTCAATGTGGGGGTGGCTGGTTAAGCACATGATTTAACCACTGGCTGTTAGGTATCTGTGTTTGTTAGAGTTCTCTAGTTGTATATAGCAGAAATGAAGCAAGCACTAGCTTAAGCAAACAGGCAAAAGGACAAGTCCATGGCTTCACGGGAGGGGACTCAGACGGGCGGAGCTGGCCTTAGCAGTTTCCAGGTCTAGGAATGTCATCGCATCAGGACCATCAGACTCAGATGTCGCATCCCCTTTCTGCGTGGTGCTGTCATCCTCCTGACTGTTCTCAAACTGATTCTGAGAGTTTTATGACTCAACAGGAAAGAGCAATCTGTTCTCTGTTTATTGGAGTTTAGAAATCATGGAGAATGACTCTTAATTGTTCCATTGTGAGCCACAACGCCATTTCTAAAGAATAAGATGTAATACCATGAATGGCTCTGACAGGCATGTGGGGGAAGAAATAGGCCATGGTGGAATGGGTGCTAAAGCCACCATGACTGCTGTTTTAAAAGCATATTCTTGGGCATGTTTAACTATTTAGGAGGTGGTCTTAATATAATATAATATAATATAATATAATATAATATAATATAAATTTTCTAATTCAAGTGCAATATGTGACATAATACCCCTCTTAAAAAGAATACAATATACACTAGTGTCTGTAGCATCTGTTCCCATATATGTCTAGTGTCTATAGTATTAACTGATGGATGCTGCCCTGTTGAGACAAAGATAGAAGAATGGAGAAACATTTTGACTTTAGTCATAACTGAAAGAGAAATTTGCATAGGCCAGTTTCTGTAGAGTTCTGTCCTCACAGTCATTTCAGGAATGTGATGGCCATTCGTAGCATGGGGCTACATGTAGAGAGAGGTTCCTGGCACTAGGCCACTCCATGACGAGTCGTATGCTGTTCTATGGTACTGACAAAGCAGGACCCAGTACAAAGGTCCTGGGCATTTAAGCAATGATGACTGATAGAGTTATCTCAGATAAATAGAAGAGGCACACAGGATTGTCCAGGCAGCATTGGGCCCCATCTATGTGTAGTGTCTACTGAAGTTAGCTTCAGGTTTAGAATGTTCATTTGATGGCCAGAGGAAATGGCAGTAGAAAAGCTGGAGTTTAGCTGGTTCTTCTCAGGACTGTGCAAGTTTTACAGACAAAAATCTGGGCTTACATTAAAGCCTACAGAAGAGCCAGTGTGTAAAGAAGTATGGAGGGCAGATAGGTGGCTAAGAGAACATAGAGTCATAACACACTACTCTAACCCCTAAGATTTGGAGGACTACAGATGCCGAGAAGAAACTGGCACAAAAGAAAAATTGGGCAATAATCTTATCCATACCTTGCTAGAACTATCCACAAAAATCTCTCACCATAATACCAGTTGTTAGAGAACTTACTCCCCAAGATCAGGCAGAGAATTTCATGCAACTTTAATTGTCACTAGCATAGTACCATAACTGATAGCAGAGTGTGTGGATAAGATCGAGCACTTTGGGTTTATTCCATAAGGAGCAGAGGTCTCCAGAATTTCTAGATGACGCTGGTACTCTATGCCCTACTAACCAACATTCTCCTTACAGATGGTGTCCCTTCACCATTTACAAGTGCCAAGTCTATGTTCAGCACAAAGGCCTTGGTGAAAATGCAGCTTTTGAAGGATGTTGTGGGAAATGACACATACAGAATAAATAACAAGTATGATACAACATACCCTCCTCTCCCCCTGGAGGAAGTGATGCAGCGGTCCGAGGTCGCTATTGGGCAGGAGGTTACCTATGACTTACTGGTCAACAACTGTGAGCATTTTGTGACCTTGCTCCGCTATGGAGAAGGAGTGTCAGAACAGGTGAGGTTTGTTTCTTTGTGTGTGTGTGTGTTTTGTTGTTGTTGTTGTTGTTGTCGTTGTTAATGATGTTTTGAGGTGTGAGAAGCTTCTTTTTTTTTTTTTTTTGCTTTTTTTTATTTTTATTTTTATTTTACATATCCCTTCCTCCCTCCATCTTTCCCTATCTCCTACCCTCTCATGTTCCCCAACCATCCTCCCCCTCCCATCCCCCCACTCCACATGTAGGGTGATGCCATCCAGGAGGGGTCTTCTAAATCTGTCAAGTCATTTGAAGTAGGGCCTACGACTTATCTCCTGTCTCTAGTTTAAGGAAGTCCCTCCATGGAGAATGTGCACCCAAAGTCCTATTGTGTACCAGGACTGTTCACTGTTCAAGGTCCCTTAGACTGCCAAGGCCTTCTAACAGAGACCCTTGGGTCAGTCCCATGCTGGATACCCAGCTATCAGTCTGGGGGCCCATTAGCTCCTCCTTGTTCAGGTCTCTGTCTCTGTGGGTTTCTGTAGCTTGGTCTTGTCCTCCCTCTCTGCATCTGGATTCCAGTTCGGCTTAGTGTTTAGTTGTGGGTGTTTGCTTCTGTTTCCATCAGCTACTAGATGAGGGTTCTATGGTGGTAGATACATTAGTCATCAATCAAGGCATTTATGGTAGCCTTTCCACTGTTGCTCAAATTATTAGTTGGGGTCAGTCTTGTAGGTCTCTGGACATTTCTTTAGGTTCAGTTTTCTCTTCAAACCTATAATGGCTCCCCCCCCCTCTCTCTCTCTCTCTCTCTCTCTCTCTCTCTCTCTCTCTCTCTCTCTCTGAGAAGTTTCTTATGTTGAGAAAATTTTGTTGTTAAAGTTCTTAGGTTTCCACCAAAAGGCAAACAATTAGAAAATGTAGAAAAATGAAAGGGCAGAGCAGGACGCTGCTAAGACTACATTGTTAGTCAACAGACAAATTTGGACATCTTGAAATTTGGGCTAAAATGGACTTGAAGTAGAATCAAGTCCTTAGCTTCTTGTTAGTCTTATTGGCTCCACTTAGACACAATTTTCTATAATATCCCCAAACCCAATGTAGCAATCTCAAATCAACAACCCCATGTATGAGGATTAATTTGTAGATTCTTCTCCAGTAGGGAATAGTGGTCAACCAATGACATGCCTAGATGCATTGGTAAATGCTTCCTATTTCCTTACAATACTAGTTTTTAAATGAAATATTATTTTAAGTAGATTTTTGATTCCCTGAGCTTCTAAATGACCTCTAATATATTAACTGACTGCAGATTAACTTGCAATCATGTAGATATCCAGCACTATTTTGTGGTATTATAGCGGATTCCCAGAAAAGTCAACATTTACCTCCCTTGCCTTTACCAGGTCTGTCTTCAGGTCAGTGTGGTTTCTTCTCAAGGATGTAACTCAAGGATGTAAGAGGATGAACAAGTAAAACCATTCTAAGGGAGGCACCCCTCATCCAAAACACATACAAACATGTCATTCTTTAAAGTTCAAAGGCTCAAAAAGTTTAAAGACTATTAACCTCCAGTAAGTTGGTTCTTGAAAAGGAGACTAAAAGAAAAATACCAAAACTTGAACATATTTCAATAACCTAAACTTACTCAAGGCTTCCTGCGTCTTGGAATAGCTATTAAAAAGACATTCTAGGAAGAGAGATTCACTTAGAACTACGTTCAGAGGAGTGGGAGACAGAACATGATGAAAGGACATGTATATTGTCTTTAGAAAAGAACTTATTGGCCAAGCGTTCCCATCAGAAAATACATTAGCAGTGAATGCTCACTCAGATAATAATACATATTTTTTTGAGTCATAACACAGAGGCCACACACAAATTCCCCCTTGTCTTTTTGTTCAGAACTCTGTTAGGAAACAGGTTCCATCTGCTTAATTAGCAATTATCTAACTAAGTGGCACATTCATTACCCTAATAAAGAGCATGTGTTGTGCTTTGGATGTGTAGCATCCCATAGAAGACTTGCATGGCTAATTCCTCAGCTGGTGGCTGTTGGTGAGACATAACCAGATTAAGGGGTCTTTGGTAATGATTAAGTTGTTCACTGCATTGGCAAATACTATTCATTTAATTTTTGCAAATGTGGAGGGGCAATGATCAAAGAACACAAATTTCTGTTACATCAAGTAAATCAGTTCCAAGTTTTACCCTGTAACATAGTATCAGTGACTGACAAGCCTGTGCTTTTATTATGAATTTATTTTTTTATTTTTATTTGTGCCAAGAAGGTAGCTCTTAGGATTAAATACCCTTACTGCAACAACAAAGCCAAAAAGAAAAAACAAGATAAATCCACCAACCTAGTAACTAAAAATCAAATTCAAAGCAACAGAAACGATGATAGTTGCAAGAAACGTAGGGAGGTAACAGATAACTGTGGCATTGATTATGATGACATTTTTATGGATGTAAGCTTACCTCCAAATATATCAACTTGTATATATTAGATAAATATTTATCTAAATATATCTTTGCCTGCTAATAATGCTTCAATAACTTAAAAATGTGGTTGAATAAGAACAGGTTACAATCATCTTGCTTTGGATTTAGTCTGAAATTCACCATCATTTTACTTTTCATACCAAGATTTAAAACCCATGGGGGGGGTTATTTCCTCATCAAATAGTGGAACCTGTCTCTAGCATATGCTGGTGAAAATAGTGCAAGGAATCTACCTGAGTGCCAGCATGCTACTGGCATGAGCTAGTGTCCCATCTGTTTTCACTGGCTGGATGACTTTGGGTATACTGTATATGCTTTTTTACTCTACCTTCAAATTATTTTTTTTCTTTTAGAGATTATAGAGGTATTTGAAGCCTCTTGCTTAGATGTATTACAGGTTATTTGTCCTAATAAACGCGTGTTATGTGTTGGATATATGGCATCTCACTAAAGGCTCATGTGGTATATGTTTCACAGATAGTGCCTGTTATGTTGAGAAATAATCAGATTAAGAGGTCTATTGTCTAGTCAGTGGATTCATCTATGGACGGATTCCTAATCCGGAAGGTGACAGAAACTAGGTGGGACCTAGTTGGGAAAAGTAGTACATGAAGGGTGCCTCTGAAGTAGGCATCTTGTCTCCACCCTCTTCCATGTTTCTTTTATTCCTACCTGTCTGAAGGGGAGCTGCTTTCCCCTGAACAACGGCCTTACTGTTTAGTGACCTTGAACTTAGGAGATATTTCCTTTTAAAAATGCATAGAAATTATTAAAAGGGGAGAAGTTTTATGGTCCTGTTTATCTTTTCCACTGCGCTTTCTGTAGTAGTACAAAACCAAGAGACAATCATTAGAATAGTTTTTAGCATTACAACATTGTTTCCGACTGTAGGGCAGTCTCACTGCTCCTCACACATATATAGCTTCCTCTATCAATGTCTCTATCAATGTGCTATAGTTTTAAAGCACTGGCAAGCCAACTTTGAAAACTTATGGCAACCAAAGACCACAGTTCACACCAGAATTTCACCTTTGTGTTGAATGTTTTATGATTGTAGTCAAACTTATAATGACATATCCATCATTGTAGTATTGATAATTTCCCTGCACTGAGATTATTCTATATACTGCCTAATCATCTCCCATCACCCTAGACCTGGGAAACTTTACTGGACTCTTTTAATTGCATTCATGTTCTTATCTCTGTTGAATGTCACAGTTGGAATCGGGTCATGTCTTGCCTTTTGGTGGCTGTATTATTTTTGCATTCCTACAATCACTAAATGACAATTTCCATTATTCTAAATTCTTGTCAATGTTTGGTGATATCAGTGCTTGGATTTAAGATATTCTGATAAGCCTGTAAGTGGTCTTTATCTCATTATTGCCTTAATTTGAAGTTTCCTAATTACGTGTTATATTGAGTACCTTTTCACAGGCTTATTTTCTCTTGTGTATTTCTTGCAATATATTGCTTGATATCATTGTGCCTATACCCAAATTTGGGTTGTTCATTTTTCTATTGATTTTTAAGACTAGTTTGTATATATTGGATGAGTTTTTTTTTTTAAAACAAATTCCTCTTTTGTTTTGTAAAATGTGGCTTGTTTTTTCAATACTTTTCAAATTTTCCATAAGCAACACTATTATTGTTATAATTCAAATATGTCCCTAAAATTGTCTGCTTGTATATAAGATGGCCATACCTTTCAGTAAGCCTAGACAAGTTAGTATGTAAGTATACCATGCCTGTTCTTCAGTGCATCAATGAGTCATCGAGTTTCAGAAAACAGATATGACTCTTCTCTCCACCAACTGGGGGCTGGACAGAGAGGCAAAGTTCTACTTTCTTTCTCTTTTAATGACCAGAAGTATCTTGGGGGAGGAAAATGTTAGCTTATGGGATGCAGTCCACCCCTGAGGGTTGTCAGGACAAGAAACCAAGCAGGTACTTTGAAGCAGTCCTTCATGCTGTTCTACCCAATACTATCTCCAACCAAGGAAATCACTTCATATCAAAGAAGTACAATAAGGGGGAACTACTTGATTTCTGGCTTGTGGTCTGGTTTATACTAAGCTGGCTTTCTTTTGCAGCCCTGAATCACTTGCTCAGGGAATGGGACCACCCACAGTGGACTGAGCCCACCTACATCAATACCCCACAGAATTGCCCACAGGCCAATCCAGTCTGAGAAATGTCTAAATTGATGCTCCCTCCTGGGATGATACTAAACTGTGTCAAGTTGGTGGCTAAAGCTGACTAGGAAAGACAAGGAATCACAGTTGTAGGCCTAGTTCCTTCCTGACTATAGGCTAACAAAGTGAACATGAGCTGTAGACACACAGAGCCCTCCACATGCCTCTGAACTGCCAGTTTGCAACAGGGAAGCAGCAGTGTGGAAGATAGTAGAATGTTTCAGAAATATGTAAGTGGAGGCTGCATGGGAAGAAAAAAAAAAGCCTAAACAGAGGGAACTATCAACTGTGACCTTGGCCAGGTTTCCAGTTGTTATATCAGATATTTGAGAAAAATGTTTTCTTCATTTGAAAGCCTTGACTCTTGAGTCCTAGAGACTAAATGTTGTCTTCTGGGTCTGCAATGACTTCAAAGTATCTGAATATGACCTTTCAGTCATAAAACTGCTCTCAAACCCATGAGGATGCAAGGCAAATATTAGCTGACTGCCATGGAAACCATGAATAACCATCAGTTGCCCTCACCATGATGATGATTAATACTCTAATGACCATAAATATCTGAACTCTTTTATGGACAATTGAGTTTGAGAATGGCTTATTATTCTGTCTATATGAAAACCCATTCTGTCTATATAAAAACCATGGCACTTGACGAATATTGATTCTTAGTTTCCTGTGATAAAGCACTGCCCAAAAGCACAACTTAAGTATTATTTTTAGGGTGAAGGTTAGGGTTCAGAAAAGGTTTATGTCAGTTTACAGGAGGCATTTCATCAAGGCAAGAAGGTAGAACAAGGATTCACACAGGTGTCAAGTCAGAAACCACAGAGGAATGTTGCTTACTGGATTGCTCTCCATGGCTCCCTCACCATGCTCTCTTTTACAACCCAGGACCTCCTGCCCAGGGGTGACTCTGCCCATAGTCAGATGAGCATCCCATACCAATCATTACTCAAGACTGTGCCACACACATGCCCACAGGCCAATCTGACGAAGGCAGTTCTGCTATCGATGTCCCCTCTTTCCATGTCACTATAGTTTGTGTCAACTTGACACAAATTGAGCAGCACATGTGCTTACTGTAGCCAGCAAATATTTAGTTCAGATCATGCTACTGGACTATTGAGTAATATGCATCCTTTAGTTAGACAGATGTGCATAAACACACACACACACACACACACACACACACACACACACACACACACACACACCTTATTCTAGTACAGATCAAACCCAACTGTGTAGAGGCTGTTGGAGGGAGAAATTGCATATATGAAGCTTTGACTTAACATTTAAACATCTTGGTGGTATGATCTTGGACAAAAGAATCATTTGCATACAGCCTCCCCAAGTTGTATAGAAGAGCATAATGTTCCTTCTCTCACCAGAGGATTGGGATGAGCAAACAGGACCCATGTTCATGATGAGTCTAGACAATGCCAAGTGCTCTGAGTGTCAGAAATAGAAACCTAAGTGTGTTGGTACCGTTTGCATAATTATAAAAAATTAAAATCCGGTGTAGTGGTGCACACCTTTAATGCTAGCACTTGGGAGGCAGAGACAGGTGAATCTCTGTGAGTTCGAAGCCAGCCTTGTCTACAGTGTGAGTTCCAGGACATCCAGGACTGTTAAAGAAACCCTATCTTGAAACAATATATACATACATTATATATACAAATATATGTAATGTTTTCAGGTCTTATTTTACCTTGGCACTGGACTTTAAATACATTCATTACACATTAAAATAGATTGTTGGTTTAGGAAACAAGCCAAAGCTTCAAAAGAACACTAACATTTTTAGGGTAAAGATCCTCTTTTTGTTTTCTGTTTCCTTTTAGGCCAACCGAGCAATAAGCACCATTGGGTTGGTGGCTGCTGCTATTGATATCTTCACATTCCTCGGCTTGTTTCCAAAGAGACAAAGAACAAAATATTAGCAGCTTGTTGAAGAGATTGGAATTGAAGGAATCTGTGAGGAGAAAGAGATTCTGGGGGTGAATACTTATTTTGAATGCATCATTATTTCTCCCGGTTCCCATGATGGATGGCAGACTCTGTAATAAATTGCTTGCTGATTTTAATCTTATCATTGAGACAAGGAAAGTTTTTACCCACTAGTATGGGCTTGCTATGGCAGCTTGAACAAAAAGCAGTTGCCTTTTGATGGAGGCAGCTGAGGATCTTAACGAAACAAAGATCACATTTTATCTCCTACTGTAAATATTGTTTTCCTTTCCCCTAAGGACAGCTATTTTGTCAGAGGTGTGGAGAACAATTTACATATGCTTCTGAAAGACAGTTGTTAGGGCCAACATCTAAATTCATATTCCTTTTCTTGTCAGAAAAAAAGGGAAGTGGGTATTTCCAGTATTTGGCTGGATACCTCAAGGATCTCTGAATGACAAAGCATTTGGTAGTACACCCATGTTGCTGCACCTGTGTAGGTGTGAGCATTAAGAAGAATGTTGGAAGGGCTTTTGTGCATGCATGTTTGGGGTTCTTATAGATGGTGTGCATGTGTGGGGACAGTCTCGAGTGCCATTCTTTGCTCTCTGCCTTTTTTTTTTTAACTAAGACAGGGTATATTGTCCTTCACAGTTTATGGCAGGTTAGCTAGCCTATTAGCTTCTAGAAAGTGTCTCAATGTAGGAGGTCTGGAATTACAGATGTGTACTCCCAAGCCAAGCTTCTATGGACTCTGGGAATCTGAATTCAAGCTCATGTGTGAAATGCTTTACCCACTGAGCCATCTCCTGGCTTTCTGCTGAATTTTCAGACCCAGTGAGTTTTCTAGAATCTACTTGCCTGATAGGAATCAGCGATGAGCAATGGGTTGCATTTTAATTGGGTTAAATTGGTCCCTCTAGATTGTATAGTAGTTCAATGGTTTGACCTTTGAGCTTTGGCAAGTGATCATTTAATATTGATGTAAAGTGCTATATTTAGAACACAAAATTCCATATCCCTTTAACGACTATTACTGTAAGTCAAGGAATTTCATTATTTTATTCTTTTGTTTTATCGAACATGTTGAATCAAACCACTTTTTAAATGCCATGCCTGTGGAAGTCTTGGTAGCAGTAGGCCAGGAAAGGTGGAATGCAAGTCTTTCTGCACGAAAAATGATGTAAGCTCATCATAACATTACCCCACAAACCACATAGCTGGCCCGACAGCCTTCTTGTACCATTATCACAAGCATGTCCATTAATAAGGAAAACATGTCAGTAAACATGGGGATAGAACATGATTAGAATATGGTAAAAGAACTATGCAAGTTTCAATGGAAACCTCACACCTATTAACCTGGTTTTACCCTGGGGCTAGAAATACTGAAGCTAATTGGGGGTTAGGGCAACAGTAATGGTTAACAGAAGAAATGTGTGCTGCGATTCCAGCCCCAGGACCCTCTGTCTTTTTGTTATGTTTCCCAACAGGCTCTGTTTGTTCTAACCCCCAACTCATTCCTTCCCTTCTTGGTTTTCTGGGAAAGTATGAGGTCATGTTTATCCTGGATTTAGGTCTATGTTCCCAAAGAGCAAAGAATGGACCATTTCCTAGGACTGTCCTTTTCCTGGGACTGTCCTGTTAAGATGAGGCCAGCTGCAGCAGCTGGGGTTACTTTCTCCTAATATGCCAACTTCTCAATAAAAGATGTTTAGAGAAGGCAAGTCAACTCATAACAGGGCTTTTGTCTTTGGAAGAATTACTCTAACATCCAGGAAGTGGGAGTAAGAGAATTCAGGACCAAAAGCCTCCTGGGGGCTTCAAGTCAAACCTTTCTAGAGAACTCTGACATCTCCACTCCAGAAGATAAGCAACATGTTAAACGTAAACATCAGGAATGCACTTTTTAATTCATAGGTTCATTTCCTTACTGGTCATGTGAGGAGGTATGAGGAGGCTTCAGTAGCCTCAGTTTGCCATGAAAATGGCCAGGCATAGGGATGAGCAACTCAACAGAGCTGGCTTTGTTTTCTGGTAGGTACCTCATTACCATGCGATTAATGTGACTTGTGCTTGGACCAGCTATTTTCCCAACATTATGAAATGTTGTCAGCATATTCTTTAACAGTCAGTAATGGAAGTCCAACCTATCATGCTCCAAAAAATGGAATGTAAAGATCATCTGCATCAGGTGATAGGGTTGTTGGTGAGACTGAGAAAGAAAAGCCTATATTTTATTGAATATATAAATATAACAAATAAAATCTGCTATCTAAATGTCACACTGTATCAACTAAATCTGTTCATTCTAAGAGTCAATTTACTGAGTAGGACTGTCAAGAAAAGGAAACCTTTACCCATATAGTTTGAAGGTTGCTTTGCATTTTTTAATGACAAGCTGACATGATTTTAAAAAAAAGATTTATTTTGTTTTTATGTGTATGTGTGCACACGTGTGCTTGCAGAGTCCAGAAGAGGTGTCAGTCAGATCCCCCCCGGAGCTGGAGCTACAAGAGGCTGGTAGCTTCTCAATGTGGATGCTGGCATCCAAATACTCCTCAGCAGTCCTCTCCAGCCCTAACATCCTTTTAAAGGACTTTTAATGTTTTGGCTAGCCACTATATTAGTTAGTTAATTCTCTCACTGACATTATTAAATACTTGGCAGAAGCAACTTAAGAGAAGAGGGGATTTCCTCTGCTCACGGTTTTAGAGGGATTGGCAGTCCATCACATAGGGAAGGTATGTCAGCAGAAGCATGGGAGCATCCAGTCACACTGTGTCCAGTCATGATGTGAGAGAAAGGGGCACTGGTGCCCACACCCTCCCTCATTTTTATTTCATCAGGGACCAGGTCCATAGATGGCACCACTAACATCTTGGGCAACTCTTCCCATGCCAGTAAAAACTTTGTAGAAACATCTTCACAGACTGTGCCAGAGATTTTTTTTCCTACATGACTGTAACTAATACCAATCAACTTGACAATGAAAATTAATTGTCACAGCTAGTAAATCAGACAGGTTTAAAATTATCCCTCCCCAAACAGCTGTGAACACACACGAAGAAAGCTTAAAGGCAAATGTATTTGTTTTGGAGGTATATACACATTGATTTAGTCGCAGTGTTCATAATCCATGTACAGCCATGGCTTGCTAAAATGCTGACAACTAAAGGTTTCAGAACATAAACCAACAACTATCTTAGAGTGAATCCAACATTTTGGTCCTAGTCACATAGTGATATTCATGGGGTTCAACTGATAAATTGCCAATGAACAGCAGAAGATCTGTTGAATTAACAAACTTAGATTTAATATTTAAAGGAAAATCTAGTAGTTAATTTCAAATGTTCACCAGAAGTTGCCTCTGGAGTTCACAGCAAAGGTGAAACTGACTAAAGGTACTAACTCAAAAGTAGAGAAGACCCTGTGAAGGTCTCATTCTTTCGGTGTCTCTAATGGACATCTACGAGTCTGGATACTTGAAATGATGAAATAGGTTGCCTAGCCTGACACCTCATCCCTGGGGATCAAAGCCTTCTTTAGAATTTTGTTTTTAAGATGATCAATGATGAGTTCATGGTGCTTGTGGAAGTTAGAATTTGATATTTCCATGTATCAATAATAGCAGAAACAAAGGTAACAAACTTTATAAAGTGAAAAACCCATTTGAACAGTTTATTTTATTATTTTAGTCTACTCTGAATTGCCAAGTTCACTGGCCCCATACAATAAACTTTGGGAATATACAGAGTCAGTGTAGTTTGCTTACATTTTAGCAATGCCCATACCATGATTACAGATGATTAACACCAATCTCTTCCTTCTCCACTTCCACACAACCCCGGCTTCCTGTACAGTTAGGAGTGGGATTATTCATTGGTCTCTGTCTCTCTCAGCCATATCAAAGATGCAACAGCAGGAGGAAATTCAGCATCCTGAAATAAGATGTCTATAATAGTGTGCTTTACAAATTTAAGAAACTCAACATTAATTAATGTATCAGTCAAACTTTCAAATACTAAATGCTTCTTGATTTTTCTTCTCACTTGATGTCCATACATCTAATTTCAGTGCAGAGTGGGCAGTGCGGTTACAAAAAAAAAAAATAATAAAATAAAAAGGTACAGTATGAATACAGTTTATTACAATGGTGATATGAGACATACAGTTTTTTTTCTCTCACTAGTGAAGGATATAACGAATGCAAGGTTCTTTACTGCGAGGCTTGATATATTATTGAAGTGCATTGAGCGCTTAGATGGAGAAGAGAAGCGCATACAGCTTTCACCTCTCCACGACGTTTAGTTTGGGGGACGAAAGGCAATGTTGCAGCTATTCGGGTTATAGTCTTGTCCAAAAGTGCTGTTCGGAAGCTTGCCCCCGAGCCCGAGTTTCCCTCTGGGACCTGCTCAGGACTCTCATAGGCTCTGTTGATGTATAATCCATTTTGCCATTGTTCTGCATAATCTGTCCTGGCTCCTGGGAGGCCAGGTGGAGTCTTCACAGCTTTCTCTGCAAGATTCTGTACTGATTTTTAGAATCCAAATTCCTTTTCTTTATAAACAGCCGAGCTCTCTATTTTGAAGGATGGCATCCTGAAAAATTGAGGGTGGGGCGGAGAGTGGCAATGAAAGTCCACTGTGCTTACATCAGTGAGCCCTCTGATAGCTGGACAGCTGCTGGAGGCCCTGGACTCTGGACCTCCTCCCTGCTGAGCTCAGTGCTGCTGCTGTTGCTGCTTCCTAGGAGCTGAAATGTTCCCTGACACAGAACACTAGAAGACTTGCCTTTCTGCAGATTCTGGTGAAATCCTGGTTTGCAATTCACTTACAGTTCTTTCACTAGGGGGCTCAAACTAACAATAACACACCACATATCCAGAAAGTAAAAAGCAGAAGAAGAGAGGAAAGGGAAGGGGAGAAAAACATAGAAACCAAAAAACTTAGTTCTGTCATTTGTCACAAAGTGCCAAATTTTGTTGGTTGGACAAATTAGTCTGTAGCAATCAAACACTTTAAAAATTATTCTTATTTATGTATATGTGGGGTGTGGTGTGGTGGGGTGGGGATGTGTATATGCCTACATGAGTCTGCAAAGGCCAGAGGGTGTCAGATGACCACCAGCTGGAATTACCCA